ATACAATACTTGAAACTGATATATTTCAAAATAAACATCAAAATTAAAGACAAATAATATGCTGATTTCAATAAAGATGATGAAGGATTAATATTCTTAATGCATAAGACTTACAAATTGATAACCTTTTAAAATCTCAATATATAGATGGGTAAAGTACATTATTAGCATCAAGAAAAAGAAACATAAATAATTAATACATATATAAATATATTTATACATCTCCCAATGCTTTTATAATAAAATAAATGCATTTAGACACATCATATCTCACTTGGAAAATGTCAGTTTTTACATGATAATATGCATTGTTCCAAAAGTACATTAATAACAGGACACTTTTATTCACTCTTATAGGATACCATAGTATAATGTTTTTTGAAGGGCAATATGGCTTTAGATATCAAAGCAATAATGTACATAAACTCGGACTCAATATTTAAGTTATAAAGGTTTAATTAAAATTAAATCACAATTTTAAAAATACTGTTTATCTCTGCACTATCTCTATTAATAAAAAAACTAAATACTTAATGATAAATAAGTGAAACAATTAAACTATAAATAGATAAAATATTTTGAGCATTAAAACATTTATGTTTGAAGTTTTCGATCCAAAGAAACAGTCACTGTTGTCATTACAATAAAAAAAAATTAAAAAGCAAACAAACTAAAATCTCTGAGGTTTTTTTGGACCCATCAGAGAACTCTGATTGCAGGGCACATTATTTCCCTGAAATCTAGAGAGACAGGTGAATCCAGAAAGTCACAGTTGAGATCTGATTACTTGGAGCAAAAGTCACTGTAGCCATAAAATGGTAGGAGAACTGAAATGGTAATTTCAAGAATTATTTTAGACTCAGTGTAGACTAGCAAAAAAGAAAGAAACTCCAGGGGACTTCAATCTTGTGAGATGGGGGTAACAAAATGTTCATTAGCTTTACCTCCAGGAACTCCACCAGTTTCTCAAGGTTGAAAATTTGAGAAAAAGCACCCTTTTCACTCAATTATGAAAAAAAGAAAATAAATCATGAAATAACTACAAAATACCTAATCAGTATTCCTCATACTGTCAAAGTTATCAAAAACAAGAACGTCTCTTTGAGAATCTGTCATAAATAAGAGGATCCTGAGGAGGTGTGATGACTAAATATAATGAATGTGCAGTCCTGGACACAGAAAAAAATACATCAGGAGAAAATTAAGTAAATACTGACACAGAAAAAGATACATCAGGAGAAAATTAAGTAAATCTGAATAAATTATAAACTTTTGTTAACAGTAATATATTCATATTTATTATTAATTATGACATATACAATTCTAATGTAAGAAGTGAATAATAGGGGAAACTGGTTGTGAGTTATTTGGGAACTTTCTGTACTATTTTGCAATAAATTCTGAAAATCTAAAACTGTGCTAATGTATAAGAATTATTTTAAAATATTTATGAGTTTTTTAATGATGAGGAGGCACGCTTATATTATAAGATGAAGTAAAAAAAGACAATTGAATATATAGTAAAATCTCAACTGGATTAAACAATGTTCATGCAAACTAATTTGAATGAATCTATAATATTAATGGTGTTTTTTTGGAGAGGCTGTTGCATAATAGGTGATGCTTACTATGTTTTTACACTTTGTACATTTTCAAATAATCAGAAAGTGTGTTATATTAAAATGTATAAATAAAGATTGATATCTCATCTTTGAATGTTTGAAATTGCACAATATCACACTCAAATACATTTCCTCAGTTTCTGTAATGGGATCAATATCAGTAAAAGAAAAGAAAAGAAAAAAGCAAAAAAAAGCAAAAAAATCTTTAAACTACTCATGCCAAGTGTTACTATGGCAATTTTCTAAACAAATAATTAAAATACATTTTAAACTTTATAAACATTTGAAAGTTTGGAAATATTCCCACAGTTTCTGTGGGCTTAAATATTATGCTTATTCGAACAAATATTTCTCTTGATAAATTAAAGGAAAAGTTTATTTTCAAAATTGAAATAAAGACTCTTTTCCTTTAATCTGTTTAATATAAAAGAGAATTAAACAAGTAGAAGTACTCTAATAATCACTGAAGACTGGAAACCCACAGTAAGAAATTTCTGCACTATGCTTTAAAATAGGAATATGCTGAATCCTTTATAGCAAGGCAATAGGCATTTTAGTCATTAAGCTTTCCCTGGGAACAGTTTTTCAAAGACTATAGAATCAAAGACTAACAGCAGTCGTTTTGCTAAAATGCAGTGCTTGGATTAGAAGTTTTATTATGTACAGAAACAAAATTAAGTTTGAGCAGTAGTTTAATGGTCTTTATAAAGCAGATTTGTTTGATTAAGTCATTTTAAGCTTTTTGTCTTCACCTTTGGAAGGCAGTATTGGGAGTGTTTTCTGTCTGAACTGGATAATGAAAGGGAAGAAAGAGAGTTCTCGAGTCCAATATGATGACTCGTATGGTGATAAATAAGCTGACCACTAATTCATACAGCTCTCTACAAACTTAAAATATACCAAATATCTGGCAAAAATAAATATATTACATAGAAGAGAACCAATTAGGATTATCTTCAATTTCTAAGTAAAGGACGCAAATCTCTTTGGGCTGCGTGTGACTTTCCTATAACAAATTTTTTGGGACAAGTTTAAATTTGATTTGTCCTTTCTGACTATGTGCCAGAGAATTCAGATATGCTCAGAAACAACATCAATGCATGTACTAAATGAATGAAGAAATAAGTGATAATAATGTGAACTGTATTTTCTTTGAGGTTAAAAGGAAGTAAAAATGATATTTGATATTTTGTGAGAAAACTGCTCAAAAGGAGTTTGAATGTTAAAGATGCTTGAACATATCATTCAGAGGCAAAGAGAAAAAAATTATGTTTACAAAAACTGAGAAACATTTCAAGGTAGAAAAAAAATTGCAATGATTTCAAGAGTCTCTGGGTTAGCTATGGACTTATTGTTAAGACAGACGAAAGTGGGGTTCAGCTCTTCCATGAGATTGACCTGTTCAGTATGCCCTGTGTGTTCCAACCTGACCTGGTCTCCTCTGTTTTTTGTCTCTTACATTATTCATTTTTTCTCTGACATTATGTATCGCTTTTCTTTCTGTTCTCTTAATGACTTTAAGCAAATTTCAAGCTTGAAACCATAGAATTTCACAATGAGAGTTAAATGTTTAATGTTTAATCAAATACTTTGCCTCTAAAACCATATTTTTTAATTTTTTTAATCTTTCCAACATGAATTCAAATATTAAAACATATATATATATTTTTAATTTCAATATGGTAAGTGTAGGTTTAAAATAATAAAATAACTTCAAATTGTTCACCAATGATATGTAAGAATTCCAGTTGCTTATATTCTTGCCAAAAGTTGGTATTGGCAGTTCTTGTAATCTTTGCCAATATAATGGGTATGTCTCTACCCCAAAAGCTAACCTATGTGGAATAACATCATCAATAGATTTCTTTGACCTTGAGTTTCTTTTTAAGTTTAGATATTGAGAGACACTAGCATGAGATCAGAAGACAATAAGAAAGTTTAAAGCAATTATTCTTCCTGATCCCTCTTTGCCATGCCACAGCTCCAGCCAGGATGTCCTAGATAAGTCCTTTTCATATAGCTCTTGTCTACAGATTCTAATATCTGTTTCCTTTCTTTGTCTCTTCAGATAAGGGTAGTAGAAGCTTCAGAGATAAGGGTAGTAGAAGCTTCAGGTGTTACATTATTCATTGTTAGTTTCCTCAAATCCTGCTTATACCTTTGTAAATCATATCTTTATTAAATTTACACTGCACTTTCCAAAGTGAGTGTGCCATCTGTTTTCAGTGGGATACAGACTAACACACTTGCACATACATAACAGTATCAGGATAGTATGATGTCAAATGTCCTTCTGGTGTTGACCTTGCTCACTGAAAATTAGCATTTTCTTGGATTTGTTTATACAAGTTCACAGATATATAAATGAAGAATATGGCCACCAAAGTGCTATGCTTGACAACCTATCTGACCTTTATGTCCAACTAATTTTGGTGGCTAAAAATCATTAATCACTCTAAAACAAAGTAATAAATCCAAAAAATATCTTATTCAGCAAATACTGATTTAAATGTTTAGTAGATACATGGCACTGGGATAATGAAATATACATAAGACCCAACATGTGTACATGTACCAGTGCAAGTGATTTATATGAACTATCTTCTTTTATTTTCTCAACAACTCTGTGAAGCACATCCCATTTCAGTTGAGTAAACTAAGGAAATTTGAGGTTAGGAATATTCCCAAAGTTACCCAAAGCTGTTATGTGAGAAATCGTAATTTGCACTCAGAAAGTTTTACTACAAAAATCTGCACTATTAAAATCTTTACTATATATCATCTCTACCTTCTTCGAAATTACAGTTCAGAAGGATAGCAGAAGTTATTATGCCAATAATTATATCGATTACATCAATAATTGATGATAAGGATATAAATGAACTGTTTAGGTGTTCAGCAATTATTTAACAAGAAGAATAAGCATTTATGCAATAATAATAGTTAAGCTAAAAACTGAGGATTATGTAGGAGTTAAGCAGGTAAAGAAGGGGTGAAAGAGTACTTCTGAAAGAGAGGACCAAATGGATGAGAGCCTTAGGATATAAAAGAGCTTGGAATATTTGAAGAAAAGATAAGATGACACCTTGGACAAATTATAGTTTATCTAAACCCCTAGAAAGAACTGGAGGAAAAAACAAGCCACAGAATATATCAGTTTAGATAAAATTACAATGTGAGAGGTTTCTACCTTATAAAAAGAGGAAATCTTTAACAATTACAGCTGGCATGAGACACCAGGATGTTTGGGATTAAGATTCCCCAAATGGGAGGTTTCATCAACAAGTAGTAAATAGATCCCTGAATTAATCTGCTAAAACTGCTGTGCTATAGTATCACAAACCAAATGGCTTAAACAACAGAAATGCATCATCTCACCGTTCTGGTATCTAGAAGTCTAAGATCCAGGTGTTGCTGAATTGCTTCCTTCTGGGGCTGAGGGAAAAAAAAAAATCTGTTCTATGTGTGTTTCATGTCTTTTCCCTAGCTTCCGGTGCTTTGTGGGCAATGTTTGGCTTGTAGATGAATCACTCCAATCTCTAACTTTATCTTAATATGGCATTTTTCTGTGTTGAAATTTGTGTCCAATTTCTCTTTATAAGGACACCAGTCACATTGGATTTGAGAGCTACCCTTTTCTAGTATGACTTCATCTTAACTGGTTATATCTACAATGACTCTATTTCCAAATAAGGTACTGGGAGTTAGAACATCAACATATGAATTTTGTGGGGACAAAATTCAACTGTTTGTATTAAGGACATTTTTTCTCTATGGTAGGTCAAAAGAACTGCAGACAGCTCCAGATGAGTGACAGGAAGTTGAGCTTGGTTGGTCAACTCAAGCTACAGTTGAGCAGGTTCTTTTCTTTTATTATTAATAAAATCAATATAAATTAAAAATCCCCGCATAACCCAGTTTTGGTCAGCATTGCATACAAAAAGACAATGGCTATTACTACCTAACAATAAAAATTAATTTTTTAAAAAAATTCCAAACCTGCATCTCTACGAAAACATTAAGAGCTTTGATTAATAATTCACTCACACATTTTTATAATTTTTGTATTCCTTTGTCCTAAAATACAGTTATGCCAAACTAATTTTAAATTGTCAGCAGCATAATTAGATGAAGATCATAAATTTTAAAAATTACTTCCTTTTTATGGATAAAATGTAGATTACTAAGTATATGGTTGAGAGAAGAAGGACACTAGATATTTCAAAAAGAAAGGCTTTTATTTGGGGACCATGTGGGCCTATTATCTATCTATCTATCTATCTATCTATCTATCTATCTATCTATCTATCTATCTATATCTATCTATCTATCTATCTATCTATCCTCTATCTATATCAATATCTATCATCTATCATCATCTATCATCTATTTATTTGGTAATAGGGAATTAAGAACTTTAAAAACCATTAGGAGGTTTAAAAAAAAAAAGTTTAAGAAGGTCATTAGCAGCTCTTAATTCTTGCTTTTAGCTATCCAAGAGCTAAAATCTTACAATGACCAAATAGGCCCAACTAATGTGCTATAATCCCTGCTGTCTTCTGCACAAAAGTAGGTTGTTTGTAGAGAAATAACCAGAGTCTATGAGAATTCTTCTATTTGCTGAAGCCCATCTCTCAGCCTCTTCTGTTGGAGAAATGATAATATGGCCTCTGTGTCCTTCTACCTCCCACTTCCCTTCAGAATGTTTATCATTAATGGAATCTAGCTCAGATCCCTACAGGCAGGGATCCTAGGAAATATATTTCCAGGCTTCCAGCATCTGTATTATAAATTACAGAGGATATGAGTTTTGAAGTGTTGCTGACAATCTGGCAGAACCCACAATGTAGCCACTCCTACTTGGCCTTTTTTCTTTAAACACCATTTTGCCATTTAAATGCTCAAAGAGAGGAAATGGTCCCAAATCACTATTTAAGTCTGAGGATGAAATTAAAATTTTTTTGTACTTGCAGAGTCTCAAAAAATTTATTTCTCATGGATAGTTTCTAAGAAACTACAGAAGGAAGGTCTCACCAAAGAGGGAATAAACAAAGAAGAACATGCAGACTCCAGGGGAAAAAAAAATCACTACAAGAGTGAGAAAAAGAGAATTCTTAGGATGGTGATACAGTGAAGTCCTAAGATATCCATCTATCTAGTCTTAGAGAATCAGAAGTCCAGATTGAAGCAGGAGGATAATATAGTCCAGAAAAATTGTTTCCATGAAAACCTTACTCCTGATCAGTAATGAAGTATTTGACCATATATCAAGGTGTTTTCAGGCCCTTTTTGTTTTGATAGGTAAGCATCTAATTAAGCGATTATTTGAAAAGATTGTTGGTAAGCATCTAATGAAGCAATTATTAAATTGGTGTGGATGGTGGGAAGATGTATAAAAAAAGAAAGGTAATCAATATGATATATATCTCAGTTGTAAATAATACTATGGATTATTATGTACTTTATAATTTTATAACACTAATTTATCTCCAATTTTGATATAAATACATTAGGAGAATAACTAATGTGTTGCTTTAATGTGGAAGGAGTTGATAACAAGTGCTAAACACTTATTTTACTTATTAGGAAGTCAGTATGTCACATGTATAACTGAAAAATAAATATAATAGTCCTCCCTTATCCATGGGAAAATGTTCCAAAACCCTCAGTGATTGCCTGAAACTGTGGATACTATCAAACCTTACACATACTAAGTTTTTTTTCTATATGTATATATTCATGATAAAGTTTAATTTATAAATTAAGCATTAAGAGATTAACAACAATAACTAATAATATAATGGAACAAATATAACAATATACTGTAATAAAATTTATGTGAATGTGCTCTCTCTCTTCTCTCTGACTCTCTCTCAAAATATCTTAGTGTATTGTACTCATGTTTTCACTTAAAAGAAGTACTTCATAGCTTCTCTTTGGCATATTTGAATTGTCAGCATCACTACGCTTGCACTTGGGGCCATTACTAAGTTAGATAAGGGTTACAGTGAGCACAAGCACTGAGATACTATGAGAGTCATCCAGATAACCTAGATGACTACTAACTGACTAATGGGCAGGTAGCTTATAGATTGTGGATACACTGGACAAAAGGATGATTCATATCCTTTTGTCAGCATGAGATTTCATCATCTGCTTAGAATGGTGTATAATTTAAAATGTATGAATTGTTTATTTTTGGAGTTTGTCATGTAATATTTTCATAACACAGTTGACCGTGGATAACTGAAGCCACGAAAAGCAAAACTGTGGATAATGGGGGACAACTGTGCATTGAATTATAAATACATAACTTATAAATATGGTGACAAATACATCCTAAAATAGTTACAAATGTGCTTCTCTCTGTGAGTGATAATAGGAGATTGAAGGGTGGTAGGTAAGAACTGTTGACTTTTATTATGTCTTCTATAGTACAATGAGTCTAAACAATTAAAACATTTTTAAATCAAAGAAGAAAGAAAAGATAAATGTAATTTTTTAAAGTTGTCCAGTATATCATAAACTTAAAATAATGTTTGGACATGGTGTATGGTTAAATTAATAATTAAAAATAAACTATATAAAAGATAGAATTTCTACTGGTTTGTATATAAAATAAGACAGTGGGAAGAAAGATAAAGAATATGAAAGAATAAAGACCAGGTTGCATTTCTGCATGTGAATGTGATACCTTTAGCACTTACTTCTGACAGCACATATGTAGCTAAAAATATATCTAAGGATGCTAAGTATTTCGACTGCCATATGCATATGGAACATATTCACATCAAAGTTAATTGATGTGTTAGTATTCCAAAAATAAGTACCAACCAGATTATACAAAATTCATCTGCCTTATGTGTTTCCCACTTCTAGTCTTGAAGGCCTTATTGTGCCACTTATTCCTGTAAGCAGTTCCTTCTAAGAGATATATATTGTTTGGTTCGGCAATTAAAAGCTTAAATAGCTTAAATACCATTTACTCAGAACTTTTCAGTCTTATACACAAAACTTCTCATAGAACAATGTTTCTTAGAATTTATTCTTCAGGAAAAAAATACCACAAGATGCTCCTTAAAAAAAGTAGTTCTACGATAAATAATTTTGGAAAACAACACATATTACACTCTCATCCTGAATATTGACCAAGATGGCCTTAACATTATCCTCAGTTTGGCTAAACTTTAGAGAAGTTTCTCCATGACAATAACCCCTCACCTCCCTTTTCTTACAGCATTTACTTTAGAAAAGTTGCATTTGTCAGTTCTTTCTATAATCCTTGGAGAAGTAAATCTCTCAGTCTCTTACCAGTTTTACTACCCAGGAATGTCTTTCTCAAGGATCTGGGAGCCATCCTATGAAATGTAATCTTCAAGAAAGATAGAATACCTAGCTCTCTGTCTCTGTGGAGAGTAAGAGGTTAACTTAGACAAGTACCGCTAGCAAACACAGCCTCCCAGCTAAAGTCAACTAGTACCTTTCGACTGGCTCATCCTAGTGCTTAAAAAATCCTACCTTAGTTCCAACAGACTTGAATTCAATGTTTCTCCCCTATTTCACTGGGCTTGAATAAAGTCTTCCTTGCCTGTTTAACTTCATCTAATGTAATATTTCTTTGGCAATATTTTCAAAGTATATTTTATACTAAATGTTTTGAGAAAGATGCAGAAGAGAAACCTACTTGTTCTTTAGCGCAGTGTTCCCAATTCATATCACAATGAAAATTTTATTTGTTAATATACATTACACTAAACCAGTACAGTTGTGTGTTGCTTGATGACAGGAAGATATGTTCTGAGAAATGCATCGTTGGGTGATTTTGTCGTTGTGTGAACATCAGAGAGTATACTACACAAACCTAGCTGCTGTGAATATCAGAGAGTATACTACACAAACCTAGCTGCTGTAGCCTACTTCATATGCTATACAGTACAGCCCATTGCTCTTAGGCTACAAACTTGTACGACATGCTACTGTACTGAATACTGTGCGTGGTTATAACACTATGGTAAGTTGCATGGATCTAAACATATCTAAATATAGAAAAGGTACAGTAAAAATAGGGTATAAAAGATAAAAAATAGTACACTTATCTAAGACACATACCATAAATGGAGTTTGCAGGACTGGAACTTGTTCTGGATGAGTCAGTGAGTGAATGTGAAGGCCTAGGATGTTATTGTACACTACTGTAGACTTTATAAACAGTGTACATTTAGGCCATTCTAAATTTATAAAAAAGAAATTTCTTTCTTTAATGTTAAATTAACCTTAGCTTACTGTAAATTTCTTATTTTACAAGCTTTTTAATTTTTTTTAACTCTTGGACTTTTTTATAACAGTTTAAAACATAAACACATTGTACAGCTGTACAAGAATATTTTATTTTTTTATTTCCTTATTCTATAAGATTTTTTTTATTTGTAAAATTTTTTATTATTTCTTTTTTTTTACATTTTAAACTTTTTTGTTGAAAACTAAGACACAAACAAATACAGCCA